AATTGACAATTCTATGAGGTATAATTTCAAGTGCTCTACAGTGGGAAGGAGAGTTTGATGAAACAAAACAGCAACACAAGTTGGTATTACTAATTAGAGAATACCCCATGCCTATCTATTCACATTTCCTCTTCACTTCTTTTCCAGCCAACATTCAACAAAAACAATAGAAAATCAGACTCTGCCAATAGCCTGCTTTCAAAGTCACATGAGCTATGCTTCCTTTCTAATTAATCTTTTTTTGTGAACTTATGGTTCTATCAAATTACATCTACCACTGTCAATAGAAGACTCTAAAAGAGTCACACTCAGTGTAAAAACACTTTTAACCAGATTATTAGCAGAATCATAGATATAGAATCTTTTTAATACTTTAATGTATAAGATAGAGCTTTACAAAATCTTCATTGTCTCCTTAAAAATGAATTATAACTACATTTCTTAAAAAGAAAAAAATGCAAATAGTTTAGGAATACCTTAAGACCTTAGTTCGTAAGTCTGCTTAACTATAAGAAACAATTCAGAGTTGAAAATAACATTAGATGTTCAAGTTCAATCTTAGTCCTATTGTATCAGATCTTTAAATATATACTCTGGTCCTTCAGAATTTTAAAGAGTTCCAAGAAGTATTTTGCTGTGAGGACCAATTTTTAAAAGCTACACTTTTGAAGTACAGAGTCTGTTTCAAGACCAGGCAATAAACTCACTTACTAACCTCTTGTTATTTATTGTTGTCCCTTTAAATGAATGCATAGAAAAAAAATTGTATTACTTAAATTCAATTAAAACTGGGTCAGTTTTCATTTCAGATTTTAATTGGAAATGTCGACTATAAATCTTTTGTTTAAAAGGATATTATTTAAGACATGTAAAAGAATAAACTTGGATTCTTACTTTATCACATATAAAAATTTATTCAAAATAGATCAAAAACCTAACTGTAAGACTTAAAAACTATAAAACTCTTAGAAGAAAACATAGGGGAAATCTTTAAGACATTGCATTGGTTAAGAATTTCCTGGCTAAGGGCTGGGGTTGTGGCTCAGTGGCAGACTGCTTGCCTAGCAAGTGTGAGGCACTGGGTTTGATGATTCTCAGCACTAAATACAAATAAATACAATAAAGGTCCATCAACAACTATATATATTTCCTGGCTGTGACACCAAAAACACAGGCAATAAAAGAAAAAATATACAAATTAGATTGTAACAAAATTTGAAACTGCATCCAAAGACACAATTAGTATATTGAAAAGGCAATCTATGCAAGGGAAAAATGTTTTCAGATTATTTGTCTGATAAATGAAAAATATCCAGAATATGTAGAGAATGCCTACATTTCAACAACATAAAACCAAATACCCTATTTAAAAATAGGGAGAGAATTTGAATAGTTATTTCCCCAAGGATGATGTAAAAATTACTAGTAGGTTTATGAAAGGTATTCATAATTACTAATATTAGGGAAATGCAAATTGAAACCATAATGAAATACCATCTATTAAGATAGCTACTCTTTTTAAAAAGTACATGCAAGTGTTGGTGAAGACGTGGAGAAATGGGAACCCTTGCACACTGTTGGGAATGTAAAATGATGCAGCTGTTTCGAAAAAACAACATGGCAGTTCCTCAAAAAAGGAAAAAGAGAATTACCTGTGGTTTCTATCAATGAATGAAAGAATAAAGTAGATGTTATGTGTGTGTGTGTGTGTGTGTGTGTGTGTGTGTAACAGAATATTAGGTAGCCTTACAAGGAATGAAATTTGGACACATGCTACAACATGGAGGAACCTTAAAAAAATTATGCTTCATTAAAGAAACTAGTGACAAAAAGACAAATATCATATGATTCTACTTGTATGAGATACTTTGAGTAATCAAATCCATAGAAATGGAAAGAATGGTAGTTCCCAGGGGTTGAGGAGAGAGGGAAATGGAAAGTGATTGTTCAATGAGTATAAAGTTTCAGTTTTGCAAGTGAAGATCTACTGGAGATTGTACAACAATGCAAATATGCTGAATTGTACACTTAGAAATGATTAAGATGGCAAATTTTATGTTAAGTGTATTTTTAAATTATAATTTAGGAGAAGATGTAGTTTAGGAAATTTGCTATGAGGTAAAAATTGGATAAGTGATTTCTAAAATCCTCCTACTTTCCATCATGATTTCAGATTTCATCTAAATAAATAATCTAGAGTGTAAAGAAAAAGAATCTAAAAATTCTGGTAAACATTTAAAAAGCATAATAAATGGGAAATTGTAACTTTCTGATATTCAAAGTGTTCACCATGTAAATATCAAAATTTTATAACTACTACTGGAAAATTACAATTAATTATTCTTTGTATTAATTACTATATAATTTGTTGTAAGTGAATATACAATGTAGTATTAGAACATTTAAAATACAGTTTTATATTTCAAAGTGTGATTGGGAATCTCTAGCCATATATAATATTGAGAATTTTATATATCAAATATGGTTTCCCTCCCATTTTGACTATATATTTAGTTCTTTTCTGCAGAATACCAACTTGTTACCATATTTTGTTTGAGAAAGTAAAGAGCTTATAATGCCCTTGTAGGAAATGTGGGCTTCATATTTAGAAGTGAAAATTTTCTTTAAAGAGTTCTGTGGCATTAAGTTGGCAATTAACTTGTATCAACAAATTAGCAGGTTGTACCTGTGCTGAGCAAGCGAATTGTTTGCCTGTTTCACACAGTAGCTAAAGTCCAATTTACATGTTGAAGCTCTATTTTGTTTTGAGCCAGAAAAGGACAGCTCACTTCACAATGAAATCTTCAGCATCTATGAGTCCCAATCCTCTGCATTTCAACAGTAAATTCCTCTTCAAAGTAAACTGGGTAACTTAAAAGACTTTAAATTTTAAAGCCACTTCAGTCAAAATTACAAGTACTTTTAGTGTGGACACAAAAATATGGTAAATATTTTTGTAGCTATGCCAGTGGAGTTGATACCTTTTGAACTTGAATCAGTGGGGAAGGAAAATGATACATCATTTATTAAATGCTTACCTTACATTCTTTATCTCATTTTAGATCACTACCAGTATGTGATGAAGGGGTTATTACACAATTTTCAAGCTAGGGAAATAAAGGCTTCAGAGACTGCTAAGACACTCCAAACATTATAGTGCACAGGCCAAAAGGCCTGGATTTGAAAATGGTTCTCTTGACTTCAAAACCTTTTGTTTCCAATATTATTACATTTTTACATTTGCCTTTACTATCTCAAGTGAGCCACAGAAAAAGTTCTATGAAATATATCCTACCTTTGGTGCATTTTTTGAAGATGTATCCCAAGTTGAGGCTGCAGGGATGTGTTTATTACATCTCTTGAGGAGACGTGTGACACATTGGAAAATAAATATTCTATTTAAACATCTCTGATTTTGCAAACTAAATTCCAACTTATTTAAACATCCATTACTTCATATAATGGAATGCCTTGCTCAATAGCTATAAAATTTTGTCAGACAGTGAAAGCATTTTTAAATTTTAATGTATGCCAGTCTTTTCTTAGCATTGTTTTTTTCCTATAAAATGATAACTAAATAACAAAATATTTGATACTAAAGACATGTAGGCATTAGTATGCTAGTTTAAAAATTGTAGGGTGCCCAGCAAAGTGCTACACACTGGAATCCCAGCAACTTGGGAGGCTGAGGCAGAAGGATTATAAGTTCAAAGCCACCCTAGGCAACTTACTAAGACATTGTCTCAAAATAACAACAACAAACATTTTAAAAGGACTCAAAGGCCTCAGTGTTATGCAGCTGAGTTCAATCCCCAGTACTAAAAAAAAAAAAAAAATTCTGGAAGACATGCGAATAAGTGCTCTCTTCTTTCTGATACTGAAGTTAGGGTATAAATTTACCAGAAAAAAAAAAAAATTATTCTATGGATTTCTAAAATGTTTTGGAAAATGAGACTTAAAATGTGCTTTTAATAATGCATTTCAGGGGCTGGGGCTCAGTGGTAGAGCGCTTGCCACGCACGCAGGAGGCACTGGGTTCGAGCCTCAGCACCACATGGAAAGAAAGAAAGAAAGAGAGAGAGAGAGAGAGAGAGAGGGAGAGAGAGAGAGGGAGAGAGAGAGAGAGAGAGAAAGGAGGGAGGGAGGGAAGGAAGGAAGGAATAAATTGTGTCCATCTACAACTAGAAAATATATAAAAAATAATACATTTCAGGTTTCTGTGTGGTCTAATGAAGGTAGAATTTATTAACATACTCCTGGGAAATCAGGCAAGGATATCCCATTTACTTCGGTCAGATCTTCTGTTCATTCAAGAATTTGCTTCACCAAGATAAGGAACTATTTAAAAGATTTCAGAATCCTGATCCCAAACTACTCAGTATTACTTAAAAGAATACTGTTCACTCATAAAAATCATGATTTCTTGATAAGAACATAAATATACTAAATTTTCTGATTTAAAATGCTTCATGCACTAGTTGTTTTTCAATTTTATCTTAACATACTGGAATTTTTAAAAATTCAGTTCCTGCTATGGTCTGAATGTTTGTGCCCTTTCCCCAGATTTGTATGTTGAAACTTGATCCCCAGTGCAATAGTCATGAGAGGTGGGGTCTTTAGGATGTGCTTAGGTCATGAGGGATGGGATTAGTACCTTTTTTAAAAAAGCCCCAAGGGACCTAATATGTCCCTTTCATCACATGATGTTGAAGGTGCCACCTCTGAACAGAGGGTGAGCTCTCACCAGATACTGAATCTGGGGGCACCCGACCTTGGACTTCCTAGCCTCCCAGAACTGTGAGCAGTAAATGTCTCACTTGTAAATTATCCAGGCCAAGATATTTTGTCACAGCAGCAAGAAGAGACTAGAGTAGAGTCACCATTTTAATGTGTAAGTGATATCTCTAAATAGAAGTGTTAAAGGAATGCAAAGATCTGGGTTAGTAAAGATGATTTAACAACTTCAAAGGCAATTGAGCAAATGGGAAAACCCATCTTACCTGAAATGTGTTAAGTGTCTCTGGATGTCAAGATCTAAAATTGGAGTAGGTCGAGAGGATCCCAGTGGTGATCGATCTTGGCTCAGGAGATCTTGAAATTCTTTACAAATTTGTCTAAAACAAAAGATAGAAAATTGAACTGAACTCTTAAAATGGGGCTTTAATTTCGTTCATATTTTACCAAGTGTTGTTCCATTTTTAAAAAAGGACAAGAAAAATTTCATATAGCAGTCTCTGTTGTTCCATCCACAGCATACAGCTGAGGTTATTAATAGTGACTTTGTAATGATCACAAAATATTTCTTTTTGCCTTCTTTTCATTTCTTTTTAGACTGGGGATTTAATCCAGGGATTCTTCACCACTGAACTACATCCCTTTTCATTTTCTTTTTTCTGAGACAATCTTGCTAAGTTGTTTAGGGGCCTCCCTAAGTTGTTGAGGTTGGCTTCAATCTTGTCATCTTCCTGCCTCAGCTTCTCAAAACACTGTCATAAAAGATTTCAACCAAATAATAGTCCCTAGGTACTGACAAACCGATGTTAATTTTTAAAGTGAATATTGATAGATTAATATCAGGATGAAAGACAGTTCATAAGAAAGGATCACATCTAATAATTGCCCTTTAAAATATTAAAATGTGGTATTTTTTTAGGACATCATATGTGTAAAAAAAATTTAATTAAGGTTATGGCCTTCATTCAGAGCCATAATTCAAGTAGACTTTGGAAAATCCTTTTTCCCAGTATTGCATTATAATTCAGACTCTTCTGGATTAATTTTGTATTTTAATATTTGAAATAGATAATCCGTTAGCCAGAGTTTAGTCCACTACCTTCAAAAATATAGTAATACTATACTCTGTGTAAGCTGATTTTTTTTTTTTTTTTTTTTGCAAAATGTACCCTGTAGGACATTTTTCAGCTGCTTTTCTTGCTTTTAATAATTATGATTTCTGGTCACTAGTTTTACTTTAGCTAATAGTATTGCTGAGTATGTTGGATAATAGTAAAGTCCTTGTGACATATAATCCAAATGGCATAATTATAAAGAAGCAGAATATATAGAAGAAACAAGATTTTTTAAAACAATAAAACACCAAATTAATGCAGAAGCTAGAGAGTGAATTTAAGGACTGTCAGGAATTACTCAAAAACATCTATTATCTATGGTAACTCCACTCCATATCTGAGATGTTTCATAGTGATTTTTTTTTTCCTTTTTTGGTCAGTTTTTGCAGTGGTTCATTATAAAATATAATAATGTGGCCTTGACTTTAATTATCAAAAAGTACAGAAGGGTCAAATTGTCCCAGGTGAATATAGGCACAGCCACAATCCTGCTAATAAGCCTTTTTGTGCCATTAACAAAATAACTACTAAAAATGACCAACTACCTTGAAGTACAAACAATTTATGATGGAGTTTAATCAATGGAGACTTATTTATTATAGATATCTAAAAGTTATTGAATTCTGCCAAAGATCATTTGTGATCTTTTTCTGTGAACAATGTGCCTCTGGTTTACTGACACTGCTCAGATATTGTGTCATTTCACAGAACTTACCCTACTCATTTTTACAAAACACAGATGGGAGGGGAGGGGGGATAGGAAAGGCAGCAGAATACAACAGTCACAAATATGGCATTATGTAAACATGTGAATGTGTAACTGATGTGATTCTGCAATTTGTATTTGGGGTAAAAATGGGAGTTCATAACTCACTTGAATCAAATGTATGAAAGATGATATGTCATGAGCTTTGTAATGTTTTGAACAACCAATAAAAAAAACACAGATGGAAGTAAAAGACAGTTGGAAGTAAAAGAAGTAAAAGACAATAGGAAAAAATATAGTCCCTATCATCTTGAATAAAATACAACCCTCCATATCCTCCAGTAATGTTTTGGATGAGTCTCTGAGATTCAGCTCCTAAATGCATGCTTTTAACTTGTGTCTACTTTCATTGAGAATATTAGCTCTGAATTCCTCTGTCTTCTGTTCCAGGTGAAACTCAGCTGGCTAATTTTCAGGTGTGCTTTAATACGTTTTAATAACTGAATGAAGAAGGGTTCTTCTGCTGAAGTACCTAAGTATTTGACACTATTTTGTGGGGGCATTGCCATCTGCATTTTGTGTTATTTAAGAATTAGATACACTGTAATCTTTCTTTCAAGGAAATTTCTAAGTATAATTTTAATATAGCCTCATGCTATCATTTTTATGACTAGCAATATGAATTCTTGTATAATAGCCCATCATTATGATTTGTTCTCAGAAAGAAAGATTGGAGCTAAGACCAGTCTTTTAATTTTTCCTCAGATTGAAATAAATTTTTAAAACATTAAAGATCAAAACATTGCTTTAGCTTTTGTGGTATGGTACTTGAATAAATTAATTTATAGACTGTCAAATCAACTTTGGCAAGCTACACAGCAAACTATAATAACACTGATGAAGCAATAAGGAAAAGGAAAAGTGTGGAATTATTTAACGCATGCTGAATAATTCAATTGCACCACACATGAAGCTCTAACAGGCACAGTACTAGAATTCACAGCTTTTTGTGTGTGCTGTATGGGGGCAGATTGAACCCAGGGCCTTGTGCATGTGAGGCAAGCACTCTATCAACTGAGCTATATCTGCATATATATATATGACATATATATCTGCAGCCCTAAAATTCACAACTTTTGATATTTAATTTTATTGCTTAAAGGATGGACTTAGGATGACTTCTATACTTAAGTGCAGAAACAATCATACAAATTCCCCATAGTAAAAAAAAAAAAAAAATTCCCCAAGTCAATTATCACCATCATCTCATTATGACTGTTATAGAATTATTAATTTTATGACTAGCTTCATTCTCATTTACATTTTTTATTTATGCAGCTACAATAGGAAATATTCTTATGCCTCAGAACAAAATGTCATATTATGAATCATGTAACACAAGATGACTTTTGGTGAATCATACATTCTAAATTTGTCACTTACGTCATTGTCCTGAAGGAAGTAATGTTTTTGGCTGATTTCTGGATTTAAAATTCCATACTTCTCCTATTAAAAATTACTGTTATGGTAACAATTTATAATTATTAACTTCTGCTTTGCTTAATATAGGTCAAATTTTAAACATATTTATTCCCTAAATTCAATGAAAAGGTTTACATGTGTTTTCTATTAACCAAATAAACAAATATTTCCCCTGGTACATTTCTATTTTTCTACCTATGTAATTGTTTAAATTGTACAAAAATATTTGGTTAATCAATAAAACTCTAGAATTAAAAAAATTAAAAAACTAATGGCACTTAATAGGCCCTTTATATTATTATATACTTCATATGATTGTATACTTAATTAAATAAAATAATTCTTTTATATTTTTCTTATTAAAACTGAATATTTTATTTTTATTCACTGAGGTAAGAAATAAACATGTAAGCCAATCTGACAATGAACATCAGCGATTAGATTTCTCATCCAGTGCATTTTGGATTTTATATATATTTTTGATGAAGTCTTTTTTGGGGGGGAGATTACACCCAGGGCTTCACACAAGTTAAACAGTGCTGTACACCAATCACTAGGTTTGTGGAAGTCTTATGAACAAAGGTGGGCTGACTAGAATTACATGAATATCTATGTAGGACACTTAATGCCAATTTTTACACTTAATTCATAAAAATACCCAATGCTTTGCCATTGATAGAAAATTAGAACTGCTGGAAACACATGTTGGGTCTGTTCATATGTTGCAAAAAAGGTCATTTTAGTCCCATAATACTTTATCTACTTATGTTGATAACTGGTTGTATTGTATTAGCAATGACTACATAGTTTTTGACTTTAATTTTTATTTGATTTTGACCAATAAGATGGGATACACATTAATAACAAAATGACAAAAATTATGAAGATCGTATCTTAATTTCTAGAAGATTAGGACCTATTTGTTCATCTGTAAATTAACTTAATTGGAATCATGATCTCAATTCTTGCTTGACATTTAATGATCTGCAAATGTCTAACTACGTAAAGAGGAACCAAAAGAATATAAATGCAAATGTCTAACTATGTACAGAAGAATAAAAGAAAATTACATTTTCTCCAAATGTTTTTTTAAATCAAAGTTAAAAATAATAACCTAAATAATATATACTGCTTACATTCCAGGCTAAAGGAAAAATTCTTCTGCCTGGTGGAATCCATTACACTAAAACAGATGTCTCAGTATTATTTTGACAAATCTGAAAGTATTTATGTTTTCTGTGAAAACAAAATCTCATCAATTTGGATGTACCCAGAGATTCCAAAACACTTCAGCAGACTAAAGGGAACACCTGTGAAAATAGGAACTTGTGTTTTAGAATGTTGAGGTGGTAGACATGAGTATTCACAGAACTGGGGGAAATTGTTCCTGGGGGAAGGAGGACATGAAGAAGAGTTTCTTTGGATTGGTGAGTCTTAGAATATGGTTGGTGAAACTACAACCAGGAAATTTCAAGATAGAAAACATCCAACACATTTTTTCCTTGGATAATTTGTTTTGGGGGATAACAGTATCACTCAATGTTATAGGTGTTTGTATAAAGGAACTCTGCTTGATGCTGCCAGCTAGAATGACATTATGCTTTGGTAACACCTGGAGTTACTACCTAACATTTAATACTATATAATTCTCTGGATCTGTAACAAATATTCACCTTTTTTTCCCGAAATTCATTAATTATTCAAACTAAGCGACTACATGTATTTTCAATTCCTTCTGGAAAAAACGAAACATGACAGATGGAGATCTAGTGAAGCAAGAAACTATTTGAAAGAAGAAAAGAGTTCAAGAAAAGTAGAAGCAAAGAGCTCCAAGAAAATTAAACTATGCAAAAATACTAGATTTAGGTCTTCCCCCTAGCAGGATTTCATATGTTTGCATAGCACAATATTTATCCACAAATTTTAAGTCCAAATTTTATACCTTCCTTATACATTTTTTTTCTCTATTTCTTGGTCTTCATGCTCTCTTTCTGCTATTCCTTTCTGCTTCATCTCACTTTGACTTTTCTCCTTTTGTGACTGTCTTTTATTTCCTTCTCTTTGAGACAAGATGCAACAATTATCTAGAACTCTTAGAAGAGCAATGCATAATATAAGCCTAAACACAAACAGTAGAAGTCACAAGCAGTGCACAATGTAAGGGACTCAAGTGTCTTTTGGCAAGTCTATACGATAGATGTCCCATATAAACTCTTAAATTCACAAAAAGACCTGTGTTATATTAGAAGCTGGTGAAAGAGGAAATATTTTGTTTTGGCTTCATACATTTTAGCTAGTGTAAAATTTAGTTAGCATGTTTTAAAGTTGTTTGATAATTATTTTGACATCAGATTCTAAGAAATAATGTCTTTAATCCTATCTACCTTATATTTTCTCTTAAAGAACTTGCCACACATAATGTATAAATGATGACAGAACCATGTGGAACTATCACTTGTACAATCTAAAGATAGATTAGGAAATACTCTATTAATGTCTTAAGTGTAGTTTATTAATGTCTTAAGTGTAGCAATAACTTATTTTAGTACAGAGAAGATAGCAAGAAATGCCTACAATCTTTGATTATGACTTCCATTGGTACTTATAGTTTTGTTGGTTTTTCACAAGTAAATAGCAGTTTTTCCCACAAATTATCAAAGAACTTTCAAGTTTGAGGGAATTTAGAAGTCATAGGAGCTTCCTTTTCCTATTGTATTGATACATTTGCCAGTATTATTTCCTTCATTGTTGTAATTTGCATTCTAGTTGGACTTTTCATAATTTTCAGAATTTTTCACATACATTATGACCACTGTTTAAATAATATCACCATGGGAAGCAAGACATTTCAGGGATAATATCCTTCATTGTTCATTAGAGAAAATGGGGTACTGATGTTGATCCTTGGTCTAAGAGATCTCCCCTTAACCCCTTATTGCATCTGTGTCATCTTTCATCATATTCCCCAAACATTTATCATGTTTTAAGATTTCTATCTTCAGTTATAAAGGCACAAGTACTTTAGACCCAATTATATAACAACCAAAAGCATTTTGCCTGGAATCTACGTTTTCTACACATATTTTCCTCAGAATTTCTGTGCATTCTAAAGAGGTTTTCTACAAACTTCCATCAGTTTCACTGATAACCCCATCTCTAACCAAGGGCAGTAGGTGACCTTGCCTTGGTCACAGACTAGTATGTGTTCTTATTTAATATATTTAGCTGCTGGAGTGTGAGATCCTCTTGTTTTAGAGAGCTTTCTAGACTGTTTCCCTCATTTTAAAGAAAATGGAAAAACTGAGGATGAAGGTCCATAGAGGCTTCCTCAGGGTGCTTACTTGGTCGCTAGGATCATCTTTTTTCTTGCTGTCTGTTCCTTCTGTTCCATATGTTGTCTGGCAAGGTGTTCTCCCACTGCCTTGGCTGGAAACTCTGTTTCACATGTGTAGCCAAAATCCCGAGCCAAGTGCAAAGCCTCCCCTGTTGGCAGACGACATAAGTCAGTTTCTTACCAATATCCAACTTCCTAACAGTAATACTTTACATGTACCTCAAGTTCTACTCCTGGTGGAGGTCAGATGGATCATTTTTCCTATTCATTCTAAACAATCCAAGAGAAAAGACTTACGGGGGTCAGGGAAGAAGAATGAGGAGAAACTGAGGAACAGAGACAGAACTTACTAAACAGGGCTATGTGGAGAATTGAGAGGAAGAAACAAAACACAATCCAAGAGTTTGTATTCCTCTCATACTGTGGATTATCAGACCAGATTGGTATCCAAAATTCTCCACATTAATTCCCAGAAGAAAAAAAACTCCTTGTGCATATAATGCTATTTTTCACACATATTGAGCAAAGATTCCAAATAACGTTTCAAAGTAGTTGAAACACGTTGGAGAACAAAGGATATGAACTATATCGATTTTATAATATTACATTGCTAAAGATAGTATATTATGTGATTATAGAACTAGCATTACCAGGCCTCAATATACTATAGCACTATGTACAGTTCTTAGGTATAATAAAATCATAAATAACTTTTTTTGAACAAAATATGAAGCCCAAGTAAATTTTTAAGAGATAGGATAAAAATATTTTACCAGAAAAGTAAGATTGAGTCAATCTGGAGAACAATTAGTGTTTTTAAAGTTCACTCAACTCTAATCTTATCTAACAAAACTTATTTTAAAAAATAAAGCTTGAGCTGGGTTTGTAGCTCAGTTTTAGAACAGATAAGGCTCTGGATTCACTCCTCATCCCACAAAAAATAGTAATAATAATTATCGAACTTTCATTATATATACCCTAAGCACCAACTTTGGTCAAGGCACAACCCTAAGCAGGAATAATGGGAGGACAAAGTCACAGCAATAATAGTAGCAATAACAACAAAAACCCAGTCTGAATGGCATGTGATAATTTTTATTATACCTATAAAACATTATCTGTACTTTATGCATATTTATTAATATTATAGTGATATTATATATAAGATATGACATATGAATACCAAATATATTTTAAAGTAATTTATGAGACATCAAATGAGAAACAGGTGGTGTTCATGGGGAGGTGGTTCAACAACCACATAGTTAATCAAATTTTTCCACAAGGAAATAAAAACTAATCAGACTTGACAAAAATCATGAAGCTTGTTTCGATGATTGGCTAAAGTAACACTCTAAAAAGTGATGAATTCAAATAGATATTATTCTTTACAACAAAAATTAACAATTGTAAAAAATTGGGATATATGGTAGGATGGTACAGTGCAGAGAAAATATAATGCTGAGAGTAAATTTCCCTTAAAATTATTCAAGTTTTCTTGAATTATTCTTAGCTTTTTTACAAACTAAAAATCTTTTTTTTTTTTTGGTACCAGAGATTGAACCCAGGCATACTTAACCACTGAACCGCATCCCCAGTCTTTTTTATTTTTTATTTGGAGACAGGGTCTCAATAAGTTGCTAAGACTGGCTGAATTCACCATCTGCCTTCGCTTCCAGAGCTGCTGAGATTAAAGGTCACAAATAAAACTCATAAGAAAAAAATGTAATAACTTTTACCAAACATTTTATTATGAAAAATCAAATATATAGCAAAGTTAAAAATTGTACAATGAATACTGATATGCTTATCCTGAACATTACACAAAATTTGCTTTATCACATATCTAGTCATGTTTCTATATCTCCATATATCATTAATCTATATCAAAATTTGTACATTTCAGAGAAAATTATTAATCTCAATATGCAACTTCCTAAAAACTTTGCATGAATATCATTAAGTGGGGTTCAATATTTGCTTTTAGTCTTTTCTATAAAAATGTTTATCTCAAAAGAGTTTCCTGACATCTACTAAGAAAATGGAAGAAAGAGACAAAGAACTCTTTAGTAGTAGTTGGTTGGTATGATTTGTATGTGTGCATGGCAGGGGGCATGCATGTGTATGTGTGGTGCTGGGGATCAAACCCAGGGCCTTGCACATGCTAGGCAAGTACTCTAACACTCAGGGACACCCCCAGCTCTGTTTTACGATTTATGCCTAATGACCAACTAAGAACTGGCAGGGTCATGGTCTTTGTATATTTGTCAGAAAAGAACATTGAGACAATTAGCCTGCTGTGACTAATATGCAGATATTAGTTAGCATCCTGATTTGAATTTTCAATGTGCACAAATATTAACCAAACATCAAAATTATCTGCTGCACTTGTGCAAGTAAGTCTAATTTTTATTTGTTATCATCAGATACTAATGTTGCTATTGACTTTTCTCACTAACTCATTCATGCTGTAACCATTTCTTTCATTCCTACAATGTGAAAGGCCCTATTCTAGGCCTTGGAAAAAGAGTGTAATTTGATATAAAAGTGTCACAACAAAGTAAACATATTAGTGCAGATAATGTTTTATGAACTAGTTGAAAAAGTCCCCCCACACAACATTTCAAATGAGCAATGGCAGGTCTTCAGTTGAGATATTTATATTCATGTGGTAGAAAACATTGGTTTTCCCCCTCCATTTTAAATAGAAACATGACATAACTAAATAGAAAGGATTTCTATGTTAATTAGCATAAGTGTTGCTAATTTAATGGAGGATGACAGTTTTGGGTAAAGCTGTATAAGCAATATAAGCAATATATTTAAAGTGTTTATTACCAGCACAGTTTATCACTCTAACTAATTAGGAAAGAAAATGAATGTGTATTTGGCGAAAGCAATGGCACAAGGATTTTTTTTAAGGACATTGCAATGCTACATAGCTTGTTCACTTTTGCTAGAGAAATGACAAAGGGAAGTTATTTGATAGCTTTCAAATTAGTAGGTAAAAATGTCAAAGTTTAACTCATCAGCCAATGCTAGTACAGCACTTGGCCAGAGGATAAGTGCACATGGACTTTAGGACTCAAAAGTATCTTGCAACACAATAACATCATTGGTCATGTCATCTTTATACTAAAATCATGTATGCTGGTATAGCTGCACAATGCATTATTCACACAGAAATAGATATTTAAATAATATTTTAACATAGACTATTACATATATAAACAGTGAAAACAGGAGGATGGCAGCATGCCTCTTGAATTTTGTGCTAAAACCTGATTCCTGAGAATCTGTCCCATTTTATGCAAAGCTCTCACCGTGTGGTAGTTTTAAAAAACCAGTTTGAGAGGAACAGCTGCTATTTACATTTACACTGACAGCCAGATCCCTCCTTTCCTTAGTTCTGTTTACTGCTTTCTATTGCTTGCGATGTAACATTGTTACAGGATGTATAGCAATGCTACATCAAAAGAAGTGGCAAGTGAAGACACTCTGATATGTAGTTAAAATGGGTATATCATGCCAAGAAAGCTTTTGTGCATGAGGACCCAGGAATGAATGAATAAATGCATCTATGAATTAAAACACAGATACCCAGAAACAATGAACAATCTGAACTTAAATCTTTTATAGCAGATACCTTAGAGTCGAAGTTTTAAGAAAAATTAAAATCTTGGCATCAAAGAAGTATAGGAATAAGAATTATTCCTATAATTTGACTGATTTGTGAAAAATAAAGACCTATTAACTTTTCTGTCATTGTGATGGGACTAAATAACTCTGTGAACAATGAGCTGACTCAGTAACGTGTGGTAGAAAGGGCATTCCAGGAAGGACCAAGAACATTGTCCTTTCTATTCCCACGAATAACTGCTATCACTTCATTTCTGTAAGAGATGAAGGAGGATGCAATAGTTATTTTATTTTTAATATAGGTTAAAGCTCCTCCTTTATTTCAATGTATTGCATCACTTGGCCATCTCCTCCCCGACCTCCTTCTCTCTCTTTGTAGTTCTGGGAATCAAACAGAGTTATCATTAAGCTTTACCTTCAGCCCCATCCTCTTATTTATTTATTTTTTTCTTTTTGGCAGCAGGGATTTAACTCAGGGGTGCTTTACCACTGAGTTATTTTCCTAGCCCTTTTGATATATTTTTTTTTTTTTTATTTTGAGACAGGATTTTACTAAGTTGCTTAGGGCCTTACTAAATCCTCCTGCCTCAGACACCTGAGTTGCTGTGATTATAGGTGTGCACCACCACACCCTACCCATCCTCTTATTTTTAAACACAACTGAAATAACACAATAACTTTGATAAATTCATCAATTTTATTTCATGCCAATTCAGGAATTATATAATTTAGAAATAACATCCATAGGTATTTAGGAAGATGAGGTTAGTGGTTAGAAAGGAATGTATTAAGTTCAAGGCTTCAGGCTCCATGTGCCATGTAACAATTCCCTCTCCCTTCCAAATATGTGGCAATCACTAAAGGATATTCAGTATTTCAATAGTAACAGCAGTAGATGATGACTTATGTTGCTCTCCTTAAAAGCAGTCATAAGTAAATTCCAGAATATGGGAAGAACATAAAAAGATAATTTGCTCTTGGATTTAGGGAATCTAGCGGAAATTAAAAGGAAAAATAAGTGACAATCATTGGTGCTGCCTTGAAATGGGAAGTTAATGGAAAAATAGCTTCTGAGGAAAAGTTGATTACACATTTTACTGAGATTATAGTTCTTTGGTGGCAAGTAGAAATTGTGCTTTTAGGTAGAAATAATAAATCTGATTTTTTTTTTTTTTTTTGGTACCGGGATTGAATTCAGAGATACTCAAGCACTGAGCCACATTTTCAGCCCTATTTTGTATTTTATAGAGAGATAGGGTCTCACTGAGTTGCTTAGCACCTCACTGTTGCTGAGGCTCACTTTGAACTTGTGATCCTCCTGTCTCAGCCTCCCAAACCTCTGGGATTACAGGCATGTGCCATGGCACCCGGCACATCTGATTTTTAATCTCTTATGAAGTTATTAAGAATTTATCTTCTTTAAAATTATTGCTTTTAAGAAAAATGTACTTTATACAAATAAAGTTCAATATTCAAAACTAATCTGTATTAAGCACCAATTCCATATTGT